CTGCTCGAAAACTCTCTCAGCCCCCACGAGAAACTTCGCCCTCCCGTAATAACTGATCAGAAAACTACTCAAAACAACACTTCTTGAGAAACCCATTTTGCACGACCAGCCATGCACCTGTACCCCAAGTTCAAATTTCATCGTTTGTAGACAAGCTCTGAGGACACAAACAAGAATCCCCGAAACTGAAAAACACATCTGGTTTTTATCATCCACATTTTTAAATCCCTTTCCGCGGAGCATCTTCACAAACAGCTCTATGGCTTCATCATACTCCCCATTCTCGACACAAGCCGCGATAACAACTGCCCACGAGTTGAAATCTGTAACGAGCATTTGGTCAAACACCTGGCGCGCGTGCGCGAGGGACCCGCACGAGACGTGCATTAGCATGATTCGGTTGAGCATGCCTACGCCCAAACGGAGCCTGCTTCTTCTGACGTGATCGTGAAGCTCGACGGCTTTTGAAGGGTCGCCGGATTCTGCGCATTCTCCGACGAGCAAGGCGTAGATGTCGAGCGGCACGGGGAATCGGAGGCTGTCCATCAGGCGTAAGACGTCGGATGTGGTGGTGACGGGTCGGGTTTTCGGGTTTCCGGTTCTGATGGGTTTGGGCGGTTTGTGTTCGGGTCTGTGCAGAGGCAATTGGAGTTGGGTTGGAGGGTTAGGTGGGGGAGTTTTGTATGGAGTGCTTTTCATGTGAAGAGGAAGACGGGGTTTTGTGTGGGTTTTTGGTACTGTGATTTCCATTGGGAAAATGGCCTCTCAAATGGTGAATTCTTGCGTTTCTTTATTCTTTTCATTAATTAATCTAGTTTATGCAATATTCAGTTGAGTTAAGCGCCAACCACCCCCACTCACCCATGTGTTTGGACTTTGGAGCATGTTTTGGAACAGTTAACTAGTTGAATCTCTATTCAAATAAAACCTAATCCCCAAATCCTTCAGCCGAGCCTAGCCGTCTTCTTCCTCGGGTGCGTCTCCCCTCGAGCGGCCATTGTCCTTGCGCCTCTGGCGAGCTCCTGGCTCGAACCCAAGCCCGTCGGCGTGGCCTAGGCGGTCTCGACTCTCCAGCACCGATGTGGTTCTGCTCTGTTATGAGTGCCATGGTGGACGTGGTCGAGGCGAGCTGCGTCTGTTTTACCGAGTCTGACAGTCGTCACGGACATCCTCTGGTGGTCTGTTGGAGTGGTCCAACCTTGAGTCCTTCCTTTCCCGACTTTCCCTGGTGTTGGGACGATGGGGACCTCCGGGCGGTGGCTCTAGGCTGTGGAGCGGCTCCAGAGTGTGCTTGGAGGGGGCTGTGGTGGTGGACCGCCTTGGGTGGGTATGCGGTACTCTAGGGTTGGGTTTCGGTTCCACGGATCGGTTCTAATTTGACCAGTTGTGGGCTATAGTTTTGGAGCCGCTTCTCGGTTGTCTGCGCCTGAGTGTTTGTTTAATTCGTGGTGGCGATGGGGTTGTTATCCGATGGGGAAGGTGTTTGTTGGTTTTAAGTTGTTGTGTTTCCTGTTGTAGTATGTGGTAGGTTTGTGTTTGTTGTCTTTTCGATTCTCCCGCTTGGGAGTTCCTCTTCTTGTGGAAGTTTTCTCCTCTCCTCTTTTGGGAGTTGCGTGTTGGTTCTTGTGTGTTGTGTGCTTGTTGGCGTTTAGTTGGCTCTAGACTACACTTAGTGTAGTTCTCCCAACTAGTTCAATTGATTGGCTGATTCTCAGCGAATTCCATGTTCTAGTATGTAATTTGTGTTTTCGGCTATAGAACCTATCGTTCGGAGAAAAAAAATTTGGGATGAATAGACTTTGCGACTCAAAATACTTCTCCTATTTAGTATTTTAATATTTATGCTATATCAGTAAACAAGCTGAGTCGAGCTCGAGTTTAAGGTGTTTGACTCGGCTCGTTAAGTAAACGAGTTAAAAATCGAGCTCGAGCTCGGCTTGTTAAGGCCTCGAGCTCGAGGCCTTAACGAGCCGAGCTCGAGCTTTAACGAGCCGAGCCGATCTCAGCTCATTAACCAAACGAGTTTTAAATGAGCTCGAGCTCACCTCGTTAAGGCTTCGAACTCGAGCCTAACGAGCCGAACCGAGCCTTAACGAGCCGAGCTCGAGCTCGGCTCGAAGCTGAACCAAGCCTTAACGAGTCGAGCTCGAGCCGAGCCAGGCTGGTTTAATTTAACAAACTAATAAGTGCGAACCTGTTGTGGCGTACACAATCCTCCCTATATATAATTCCCGAATGCGCTGAGCCTACGTGGCTGCTTCTGGTGCTTCGGAATCCTATTTCGCGAAGAATCATGCTTCGTAATTATGTTTGGATAAATAATATTGATATATTAATAATTAATAATCTAGGTTCGGGTGTTCCATAAATATTATTTAGTTAACTTAGGTATTTTAATATCACTTTTACTAATATAACCCTTTAATTCTTTGTAATTTTACATAGTGAGTCACTAAGTGACTAATATATCCCTCAATTTTGATTTGTTTCCTTCAATAAGCTATTGAATTATATATGTATTTTAAAAGTTGATAACTTTTTGTATTTATTATCGGTTTTACATATATAATATATCAAATTAATCATCTTTTGATGATCTTCAATTTGACATCCATATTGTATATATGAAATAAATAAATTATATTTATTTTTATAATAATAAAAAATAATAATATTTATTAAAATTCATTAGAAAAATAAAATTTTTTCTCAATTGATATATTTATATATAATGTAGTTATATTATAAGTTAAAAAAAAATTAGTATAATATAACACAAGTAAGTTGCACAAATAAAAAGTGTCATAATAAATATATAATAATATATATATTCTTATATAAATTTTCAAACTACTTTTTCTCATTAATTTTAGATTTTAAGAAAAAAAAATTAACAAGCACCCGTGTAATACACGGGTCTTGTATTAGTATATAAAAATGTGAGAATGCATCGCCACATTGCATTTGGTTACAACTTACACATTTTAATCTCAAATTTTCTAATTAGTAATTTCGCTTGTTCTTATCACTTTTTTAGCAATTCATATTGAACATCTCAAAAATCTAGACAATTGAAATATTGATAATTATAAATCATCATAACATAAATTTATATATAATATATTATTAATAAATAAATAACAACCAAATTTTTATTGAACAAAATTATGAAATAATTTCTATTCAACACCTCCAAAAAATTATAAAAATGGCATTTATGATAAATAACATCGAAAAAGTTAAAGAGTATCCATTTTACATTGTATATGTTTTTGTTTTGGGCGATGGGAAAAATTGTTTTTAGTTATTTTTTTTCTGGTATCTATATATATATAAAAAGAATTACCATTTTTTAAAAATGGCAAGTCAAACTGTG